AACCATTCTTTTATTTCATTGATACTTTGTATTGTTTTTGTCTCTATTTCATTTAGTTCTATTCTGAACTGTGTTATTTCTTTCTTCTGCTGACTTTGGTTTTGGTTTGTTCTTGTGGTTCTAGTTCTTTGAGATATGCTGTTAGGTTGTTAATTTGTGATCTTTCTACTTTTTTTGTAGGCATTTAATACTGTGAGCTTCTCTCTCAGCACAGCTTTGGCTGCATCCCACAAGTTTTGTATCAGTTTTTAGCTTTATTCCACTGTGGTCTGAAAAGATACTTGATACGATTTCAATTTTTAAAAATTTGTTGATTTGTTTTGTGTCCCCAAAGTGGTGTACATTGGAGAACATTTCATGTCCTGATGCAAAGAATGTCTATTCTGTAGTTATTGGGTGAGATGTTCTGTAAATGTCTGTTAAGTCCATTTGGTCTAAAGTCTGATTTAAGTCCAGTATTTCTTTGTTGATTTTCTGTCTTGATGATCATTCCAGTGCTTTGAGTTGGGGTGTTGAAGTCCCCTACTATTATTGTGTTTCTGTCCAACTCTTTTGTTAGGTCTAGTAATATTCATTTTGTGAATCTGGGTGCATATATATTTAGAATTATTATAACCAGTTGCTGAATTGATCCCTTTATCATTATATTAATATAATGATCTTTGTCTTTTTTACTATTTTTGACTTAAAGTCTGTTTTATCTGACATAATTATAGCTATTCCTGCTCGCTTTTGGTTTCTGTTTGCATGGAATATCTTTTTCCACCCCTTTAACTTCAGTCTATATGTGTCTTTATGGGTAAGGTGAATTTCTTTTTCTTTTGTTCTTGAGACAGAGTCTTGCTTTGTTGCCCAGGCTAGAGTGAGTGCCATGGCATCAGCCTAGCTCACAGCAACCTTAAACTCCTGGGCTCAAGCAATCCTGCTGCCTCAGCCTCCCAAGTAGCTAGGACTACAGGCATGCACCACCATGCCTGGCTAATTTTTTCTATATATGTTAGTTGGCTAATTAATTTCTTTGTATTTATAGTAGAGACGGGTTCTCGCTCTTGCTCAGGCTGGCTTCGAACTCCTGACCTCGAGCAGTCCACCTGCCTTGGCCTCCCAGAGTGCTAGGATTACAGGCGTGAGCCACCGCTCCCGGCCTTCTAAACTTTTTGATCTCTGTTCTCCTTTGGGAATACGGATAATTTGTAAGTTAGAATGCTCAAAGGCTTTGCTCCTTCTTTTTTATTCTTTTCCCCTTATTTTGTCTGACTGCGTTATTTCAGAAGACCTGTTTTCAAGTTCTGAGATTCTTTCTTCTGTTTGGTCCGATCTGTTTTTGAAGCTTTCGAATGTGTTTTGTATTTCCTTCAATGAATTTTTAAGCTCCAGAATTCGTTTGGTTTTTTAAAAAAGATCTCTCTCTCCTTGGTAAGTTTCTCATTCATATCCTGAGTTGATTTTTTAAATTTCTTTGTATTAGTTTACAGATTTCTCTCACTTCTTATTAAGCTTCTTTTGAATCGATATTTGGAATTCTTTATCTGGCATTACAAGGAATTCTTTCTGCTTGGGGTTCGTTGTTGGACAATTGTTGTTGTCCTTTGGTGGTGTCGTATTGCCTTGCTCTTTCGTGTTTCCATCCTTCCTTTGACATCTGATTTATTAGTCACTTGTTCTGATATTTTGAAATTGCTTTAGAAAGGGAGAATTTTTTTTCTGAAGGTGTATGTCTATTGTTGGTTGAGTAGGACACTTTGGCTTGATTTTTTGGTGCCTGCAATAGTGTGGTCTCTGTATGATTTCTTGGGCAGTACACATGGCCAGTGGTATCTGTGGTTTCTGTAGTGGCTTAGGGAAGAGTTATTGGTTGGGGTGGTGAAGTTTTCCTGGGAACTCAGATGGCAGCTGTGAGCCAGTCTTTAGGCTCAGTGGTGGCAGCAGTTGGCCGAGTGTGCCTGATTTTAGGCCCCAGAGCAGCTTAGCTGACAGTGATATTAGTGTATGGGGGTGGGAGCAATTCTCGGGCCTTTAGGTGGCTTGCTTAGAAGCTGGGAGTTTGAGCAGAGGGTCAGGTGTGTGGGCAGGCTCTCAGGCCCCTGAGCAGCTGGTGTGATGTGGTAAGTGACAGTAGCTGTGCTGGAGCCACTCTCTAGGACCTAGATGGTCTATGTTGGTGTTGGTGGTAGTTGCAGTGGGTTGGGCAGGCTAGTCCCAGTGGGGATTGTCCTAAGTGTACTTAGGAGAGCTCGGGGTCCCCTCTCCCTCTCTGGCCAGGCAGTAGCTGCAGTCATGTCACCTTGAGCTTGGCCTGAGGACAGGGCATGGGGCCCAGCATTAAGCTCTCAAAATGGTGCTGGCTGTGGGGGTCTGATCAGAGTAGGCAAGAAACTCTGGGGAGCCCTGTGCACTCACGTCTTGGTCACACGGGAGCTTGTCTCAGGGTCATGGGGAATTGTCCTAGGTATGTGTAGGGGAGTTGGGCCCCCCTGTTCCTCCCCAGCCAGGCAGGGCTGCTTCAGCTCAAACTTGACCCGAGGGTGGGGCACTGCCCAGCTCTGCACTCCAAAGTGGTGCTTTGGGCCTGTGACCAGAGAGGGTGGAGCCCCCTCCAGGCAAATAGCATGGGTGAGATGCTGGGGGAAGGAGGGAGTGTTGTCAATCACCACAGGGTGATGGGAGTTGTCCTGGGAAGTTCACGGCAGAGGCTCCACATTCCTCCTCAGCTGGGTAGGGCTGCAGCTGTGCCGGCCTGAACTAAGCCCAAGGTGCTCCCAGCCTTGAACTCCCAAAGTGGCACCTTGGGCCTGTGCCCAGAAAGGGCGGGACCCTTTCCAGCAGGCTGGGCTTGCAGAAAACATCGTAAGTTCAGTTTAGGTGAGAGTTGGTCCCACAGCAGCTAGCTGCTAGCTGCAGGCTGGTGGACGCCTTCACAGTGGGCATAGGAAAGCCTGCTTTCGTGCCTCCCCAGCCAGATGGGGGCTGCAGCTCCAACTCAGCCCGAGGGCAGGGCACAGGCCAGTGTCGAATTCTCACAAGGGCGCCTTAGCGTGTGACCAGAAAGGCTGGGGCCCCACCCACGCAGGCAGCATGGGCAGGAGACTAGAAAATGCTGTCTACTCACGTCCCAGTCTCAAAAGCAGACCCGGGGAGGACAGTAGGGACCTTCTGGGGAGTACGTGGGAGTACCTGGGCTCCTGTCCCTCCTCAGAGCTGAGCAGTGGCTGCAGGCATGCCCACAATTTCCTGATGTCTGGGCTTTCAGGATGGCGCCTGGCTCAGGCTGCTCCCGGACCTGTGGGATTCCACATGGGTCCCCTTGTTGGAGCAGCGTCTCTGTGCAGTCTCCACCCAGCACCTCTGTCTCCACCTGTGTTAGGCCCAAGACCCACTTTTGGTGGTTCCTGTAGCTTCTCTGGTGAATCCTAGAGGATCTGTTCAGTTTGTGAAATTCTGCCTGCTGTTCTGGCTCCTCTGAGTTGGTGTTAGTGGCAGCTGCAGTGGATCGGGCAGGCTAGTCTTCTCCTACACAGTCCATCCAGTCTGTGAGAATCACCTGCTATTCAGGAGTGGAGGAAACACATACTGCCTCTGTCTCGTTGGCATCTTGATCCTGTCCCCCATATAGGTTATTATAGTCCTTCCGATCTTAGCTACTTAATGAGAAAGTGGAATCAATTAAGTCACACATCTCATCACCTACTCTGTGCCACCACTGTCTTGGCATTGCACAGGAGAAGCAGATGTGCCTGGCACTTTGTTTTTGCTCAGTAAACAATTATTGAACAAGTGAATGAATGAATGCCCTACAGCTGCTAGTCCCAAGCAGTTCTTAGTTGAATAGGGAGGTGGGGGAGGTAGCAGCAGTGTAGGGAAGATACAAATTGAGTTCCCTGAGGCAAGGGGGCGGTTCTGGTTGGGGGAGGAGGAAAGGTTCATGGAGAAGGTGACACTTTAGGTGAACTTTAAAGGGAAAAGAGGATTGTGAAGGAGCGGAAGGGAAAGATGTTCTATGTGGGATTAAGTTTTTATGGAGCACAAGCGAAGGTGGGAGAGGATGGAGTATTCTTGAGGAACAATGGAGATGTTCCACCGAGACTGGATGCATCAATCCATTTTGCATTTCTATAAAGGACTACCTCAGACTGGATAATTTATAAAGAAAAGAGGTTATTTGGCTCATAGTTCTGCAGCTGTAGGAGAAGCGTGGTACCAGCAAGTGCTTCTGGTGTAGGCCTCAGGGAGCCTCCAGTCAAGGTGGAAGGTAAAGGGGGAGCAGGCGTGTTGCATGACGAGAGCAGGCGCAAGAGAGGTACGAGGGGTACCAGACTCCTTTAAACAGCCAGCCGGCTCACGTGAACCAGCAGAGCAAGAACTCACTCACGAACTCAGGGAGGGCACCTGGCCATTCGTGGGGGATCCTCTCCGTGACCCAGACACCTCCCACCAAGCCCCACCTCCAATACCGGGGATCAGATTTCAGCATGAAATTTGGGAGACACTGCAGTTTCTGTAAGGGTAAAATGGTGTTTAAGGCTAGAAAAAGGAGATTGAGCCCTTACAGTGGGGCCTTGAACGTGTGGTAGCCACTCAGATGTTTTGAAGAGGGTAGCAGTTGTGCCCTTTTCCAAAAAGACAATATGGCGGTGGTGTGAGGGTTAGGTTGAAGGGGGAGAAAAGGCCAAGAGGGTGGTTAGGAGCCTTGTGTAGCAGCAACAGTGAAAAGTAGTGAGCACCTGATTACTGGGAGTATGTGGAGGAGAAAAGAGGAGGTGCTGCAGCGGGAGGTGAGACAAGCCTGGCAGAGGACCAGAGGTGGGGTGGGAGGACAGGGTGAGCCAGGGTTTGAACATGGTGGCCCAAAGGAGTGAACATAAATGCCAGCTTGGTGTCATGAGTTTGAGTGGCAGTTACTCCATTTCTGAGTGTGCTAAACAAGTGGCATGTGATAAAAGGCACTGCCTTTTCTATTTGAAGGTTATGCTACAAAGCAGTTATATTTAAATTCTGAACAGGTTGCTAGAACCCATCACGTCCAAGCAGAAAGCTACCTGGTGTACAGCATCATGAGCAGTGGCGAGATCGAGTGCAGCAACACCTTGGAAGACGAGCTGGACCAGGCCCTGCCCAGCCAGGCCTTCATCTACCGCCCCATCCGCCAGCGTGTCTACTCGCTCTTGCTGGGCGGCTGCAAAGGTAAGAGTCGATCGGTCTCTCTTTGTTGTGGTTCTGTTTGGAGTTGAATTCTGAGAAACTGGCCAGATGAAGTAGAATACATTCTTTCAGGACATGGAGATAATTAAATAGGATTTTGTTTCTCTGTCAAATGTATAATTGGGAATACCACTGGCATCTGTAACAATTTAAGTATAAAAACCATGGGACATATATATTTAATTAGCAAGCAGTTGATCAGCATTCATTAAAAAAGAATCCCTTGTTTCTATAAAATGTCATAGTTTATGCCTTAAAAGGATTTGTGCTTTTTAAAGAATGTGAAAACTCTTTATTCCTGTAGGAGTGTAGGTTATGCTTATTATTAGAAAACAATGTCTACTTAGTCTTCCCTCAAAATGTGATTTTCATAAAATAACTTTACACAATCTAGTACATTATTTATAATATAAACACAGTTTTTCTTTAGAGTTTTTGAAATGAAGTTTATGTTTTTCCCATCTATTTTTCCATTGCGTACTTAGTAGCAAGAGTAGGGAGAAGACCCTCGGTGAGGAGAGCAGTGAAACTGGGAGTCCGTCAGGGCCTGTCACTCATGCTGGGAAGGGCCGGGGGCACTCGGGAGGTCAAGGAGCTTTGGTGTCAGAGACCAGTGATGCTTCTTGTGTCGAGTCACCTTTTCTGTAAGGCCTTGAGCACCTCAGACAGGCAGCCCTTAGGTGCTCTATGGTCAGATTTGAGGGTGTTTGATAAGAAACTCTGCCTGTCCTGTGGGTCAGGACAGAGGCAGGAGGAGTGGGGTGCTGGCGAAAGGCTGTCAGTGGCCCGTTTTGCCTAAACATCATTTCCAAACATGCCAATGTTCTTATTGATATTACTCTGTTATTCTGGAAAGTATATATTTTCATAATCTGAAAGCGGTGATAGAATCATTATTATTTAGGGTGTCTAGGGTGGTGGGGTTCTTCAAATCTGGTTCCTATAGTGCCACCCACTGTGTACTGCCTTCCCCCACGTGACCCAAGGAAGACGTAGAAAGATGTCTGAGCTGATTTAAAAACAGAAGTAAAAGAAACTATGTAACAAACTCTGGGGCCAAATATTGTTTAAGTAATTTTTAAAAATTTCTTATTTGTCTCTCTGCCCATATTCTTTCTTAACATGGATGATTGGACATTGACTTTAATGATTAAAAAAGATACTTTCCTCTGAAAAAATGTTTACAGAATAATATTGGAATTGTTTTTGGACTGCTTCAGTAAATGAGAATAAATTACAGAAGCTTCACTAACTTAAATTTCATACTTTGTTAATGTAATTTATTTATAGCCATATAGATAATGTCATTAGCCACATGAACAGGAAAAACTACTCAGATGGAACTTGTCTTCACAATTGATCATTAGTTCCTCTTTTTCCTTCAATTTTTTGTCATTCTACATGAAGTTTACATTATTAGGATATGAAAATAAAATGCTGCTATTGCTGATTTATTTATGATGATAATAATGAAGTATATTCTGTTATTTGCTTTGCTTACTTTATTATTTCATGTGTATTTGAAAATGTGTATATTCTACAGTGGTCAGGTATAGTGTTCTGTAAATATCAGTAGTGTTAATAGGGTTGTTCTAGTCTTTAACTGATTTTCTGTCTACTTGTTCTTAGTTCTGAGAGTGTTAAAAATCTTCCCATATTGTGGTTTTGTCTGTTTATTCCTTCAGTTCTTCATTTTTTGCTGAAGATACTTTGAAGCTCTGTCGTTAGGGGCATATACATTGAAGATGGTTAGGTTTCTTAATGAATTGACCCTTTTAACATGAGATTTGTCAATTTTCAGTCTGATAATATTGCTTGTCCTAAAGTTGACTTGTATTAATATGTGTACTCCAGTTTTCTCAGTGTCCATGCTTGCATGGGATGTCTTTTTTCTATCCTTTTAAATTTTGTCTTTACATTTAAGTGCTTCTCTTTTAAATATCATATCCAGTCTAACAATCTCTTTTGAGTGTTTAGACTATTTATATTTAATGTAATTATTGACATAATTGGGTTTTAGTATTCCATTTAGCTCTTTGTGTTTTTTCTCCTTATTTTCTCCTCTTCCTGACTTCTTTTGGATTAATCGAATAATTTTTAGTATTTTGTTTTATGTCTTCATTTGAATGATTACATTTACCTTTTTTTTTTTTTAAAGAAGTGGTTGGTTTAGGGCTTACAATATATATTTTTAAAATCACAATTTACCTTCAAGTAATATACCAATGTTGTATGTAATGTACTAATCTTTTAACAATGTCCTTTCATTCTGTCCAACGTTTTTGGTATTGTTTAATGTCTCCTGTATATGTTTTCAGACTTTTTAATTTGAAATAATTACAGACTCACAGGGAGTTACAAAAATAATACATAGATTTCCATGTACCCTTCACCCAGCTTCCTCCAAAGATGACATCTTCTGTAAATCTCATGCAATATCACAGCCAGAAATAAATGTTGGTACGCTAATGTTAACTAGACTACAGACTTTATTCATTTCACTGTTTTTTGTTTGTTTTGTTTTGTTTTTTTGAGACGAAGTCTCATTTTGTTGCCCAGGCTAGAGTGCCATGGCATCAGCCTAGCTCCCAGCAACCTCAAACTCCTGGGCTCAGGCAATCCTGCTGCCTCAGCCTCCCGAGTAGCTGGGACTACAGGCGTGCGCCACCATGCCCGGCTAATTTTTTCTATATATATTAGTTGACCAATTAATTTCTTTGTATTTATAGTAGAGACGGGGTCTCGCTCTTGCTCAGGCTGGTTTTAAACTCCTGACCTGGAGAAATCCCCCTGCCTCGGCCTCGCAGAGTGCTAGGATTACAGGCGTAAACAACTGCGCCCGGCCCATTTCACCATTTTTTTGCATGCACGCGTGTGTGTGGTTCTGTGCAGTTTTATCCCATGCAGAGGGGCTTTTAACTACCACAGTCAGGTTGTAGAGCCGGGCACCCCCAAGCAGAAGTCCCTGTGCTGCCCCTTTGTTCTCATCTCTTTCTTCCCCTGTCCCTGTCCTCTGGCAACTACTGATCTCTCCTGCATCTCTGTTTTTGTTCATTTTGAGAATGTTATAGAAATGGAAGCATGTAATATGTAACCTTTAGAGATTATGCATGTAGTATGCACATATCTTAAGCCCTGTTATACATGATTTAAAAAAAAAAATGTAATCTAGGGATTGGCAGACTTTTTCTTTGAAGGGCCAAATGATAGATATTGTAGATTTTGAGGGCCCCCCTACCCCGCATCTCTGTAACAACCCCACGACCCTACTGTTGCAGCACTAGAACAGCCAAAGGCATTGTGCAACCTGATGAGTGTGGCTGGGTGGCAGCAAACCTGTTTAACTTTCACATGTGACAAAATTGAATTGTGTATGGTATAATTTTCCTGAGTCACAAAATATTCTTTGCATTTTTTTCAACCATTTAAAAATATTGAAAGCATTATTAGCTTTCAGGCTATATAAAAACTATCAGGCCAGATTTGGCCTGTTGGCTGTAGTTTGTCAGCTACTACTTTAAACAGTTATCTTTTTTAGAAATTGATAAATGATAAACATCTTTGTTATAAATTTTTTGTTTTTATTTTTAGAGACAGAGTCACAGTGATGTGATAACAGCTCAGTATGGCATTGAATTCCTGGGCTCAAGCGATCCTCCCACCTTGGCCTCCCAAATTGCTGGGATTATATGTGTGAGCCACCATACCTGTCTGATAAAAAGTCTCCTATGTATGCCATTTTCTGTGCTGTTTATTCTTTTATGTAGATCAAAATTTCCATTGAGCATCGTCTTCCTTCATCAAAAGAATTGGATTTGTCATTTCTTATGGTGTAATTTTAAATTTTCTGTTTTTTTCCCCCCTGAATTTTCATAGTCTTGTGTCACCTGATGACACAGGGATACCTTCTGAGAAATGCATCGTTAGACAATGTCATCCTAGACAATACATCATAGACAATACATCATAGAGTGTATTTACACACACATAGGTGGTAGATCCTACTACATACCTAGGCCATGTGTTATAGCCTATGCTCCTCAGCCACAAACCTGTATAGCCTGCTACTGTGCCGAATACTGTAGGCAAATGTAGCACAACAGTGTAGTGTTTATGTATCTAAACATGTCTAAACATAGAAAAGGTAAAAATATGTAATACAGTAAAAATATGGTATAAAAGATTAAAATGGTACATCTGTACAGGGCATTTACTCTGCGTGGAGCTTGCAGGACTGGAAGTTGCTCTGAGCGTGTCAGTGAGTGGTGGGTGAATGTGAAAGTCTGGGACAGCACCGTACACTACTGTAGACTTCATATTAACTATACACTTAAGCTGCCTTAAATTTATTAGAAATTTTTTTCTTTCTTCAGTGATAAGCTTTTTATTTTATAAAATTTTGTTTTTAAACTTTTTGACGCTTGTCAAAAAGTTAAACATAGCATACAACTATACAAGAATATTTTCTTTCTTTATATCCTTATTCTGTGGGCTTTTTTCTATTTCTAAAAATTATTATTTTTTTTCTTTTTAAATTGCCTGTTAAAAGCTAAGACACAAGCAAACACATTGGCCTGGGGTCTTCACAGGGTCAGGGTCATCAGGATGTCACAAGGACACCTGTGTGGTCCGTCATTTTCTGAAACGCTCTTATGCAGTGCATGGCTGTATCTAATCTTTGTTTGGGGGTAGAGTTTTTTTTTTTTTTTGAGACAGAGTCTCACTTTGTTGCCCAGGCTAGAGTGAGTGCTGTGGCGTCAGCCTAGCTCACAGCAACCTCAAACTCCTGGGCTCAAGCAATCCTTCTGCCTCAGCCTCCCGAGTAGCTGGGTCTACAGGTATGCTTAGTTGGCCAATTAATTTCTTTGTATTTATAGTAGAGACGGGTTCTCGCTCTTGCTCAGGCTGGTTTCAAACTCCTGAACTCGAGCAATCCACCCGCTTCGGCCTCCCAGAGTGCTAGGATTACAGGCGTGAGCCACTACGCCCGGCGGGGGTACAGTTTTGCCAGATATAGAATCTTAGGTTTTTTTGTATGTGTGTCCAGCACTTTAAAGATGTCATTATATTTTTTTCTGGTTTATGTTGTTTCCCAGGAGATGACAGTTGTCATTGTTGTTCTTCAGATGTAATGTGACTTTTTCCCTCTGTCTTTAAAATTTTCCTCTTGACTGCTGGTTTTCAGCAGTTTGACTAAGATGAGCTCGAGTGGTTTTCTCCTGTTTTCCCAGGTGAGATTCTTGAGCTTGTTGAACCTGTGGGTTTATATTTCCTTCAGATTCAAAAAAAATTGAGCATTATTTCCTCAATTTTCTTCTATCTCAGTCTTTTTTTCACCTCTTCTTCTGGACCATTTATTGATTTCTCCTCCTAAGGGATCCACATATTTTTGCTCATTCTCACGTCTGGTATTTTTGGTGGTATGCTAGATCATTTCTGGTGCTATGAAGAGTTTTCTTCTGTCAGGCAATTAATTTCCCTGATCCTTCCACACCTTGCCTTGTGAGGGTGAGTCTGTGGTAGGTTTTCCTGTAGAGCTAGGGTGGCCCTACTGCTACGGCAGGGCCTCCTGGGCAGTCACCTGCACGCCCATATGTGGGACGAGGTCTCCTCACATGGGTGTTGGGAACACTACTGTCCTGAGGCCCTGTGCAAGCTCAGTGGTGGCCGGCCCCAGCCACTGCTCCGGCCTAGCCTCTGAGTTGCGCCCTGAACCTGCATCTGGGACCACAGTCTGGCACTGCCCACCCTACAACACGTGAATGCTTTTGTCTGGAGAGTCTGTCCAGTTTTAGTGCTGACAAAAGGAAGACGGGCCACAATTCTGCCCCACACCCCCATGCCCAGTCCTTGGTCACTGCTCTACCCACCACACCCACCCCCATTCCTGGTTGTGGCTCTGCACCCCCCTTTGTCCCTGGCCATGGCTCTGCCCCCCACGCCTACCCCCATCCTCTGAGTTCAGAGGTACTGCTGATGTCTTTTTTGGTAACTCTTTTTCTCATAGAAGGATTTGAGATGTTCTCATTACCCTCTCTGTTTAGAAAGTCTCTTCTTCTGTTTCCTATTGTGGAACTGCTGTGAGAATCATATTGGACTTATTAGATGGACATTCTATATTTTTTCCTCTTTTAATTCCTGTTTTTGTCTTTTTGTTCTGCATTGTGGGAACATTTCACTGCTTCATTTCTCAACTCTTTTGCAGAAAAGTTTCCCCTCCTTCTTCTTACCAAGGCTGTTCCCCCTACCCTGGATGGAGCCCCTCTCTCGTTTGGGGGTTCTGCCTAATTTTGCCGGCGGTTTGCCTGGTGGTCTGGGGGCATAGCCCCTCTCCCCTGCTCTAGGCTCCTGCACCCTGCTGACCTTCATATGGCAGAGTTACATCTAGCCTCTGCCTGCCTGCCTCTGTGTGTGTGTGTGTGTGTGTGTGTGTGTCTCTCTCTCTCTCTCCCCCCCCTCCCCCTCTTCCTTTCCCTCCCCCTCTCCCTCTTCCTTTCCCTCCCCCTCTCCCTCCCTCCCTCTCCCTCTCTCCCCCTCTCCCCACCTGGCACTGTTTAAAAATGTATCTGTGTTGGCAAATGTAAACACTTTTTTTCTGGCTTAGGCCATTCTTCTGAATTCTAGTTCAGATAGCACAGGTGGGAGACCTGGTCTCTTGAATCCTATTAGGTGAACAGTGGTCTCCAAGTCCGTGTGAGTAGCAGGAGGGAACCAACCCACTCATTTAAAGTGAGACTGAAAGCCACTGGTGCCTTTTGGCCACATAGTGTAGACTTGGAGCACCAGAGGCCTCTCCCAAACTTGCACAGCCCTCAACACCGACACCAAGTCCGAACCAGAAGGCGCTCACAGGCACTGGATTGCTGCACTGACCCTTCAGGGTTCCTGTTTATGGATACCTTTTGGGTAACTGATCTAGTGCACACTCCAGCTCATCTGGACACCTCAGGGGTCCCTCTTTAGGGAGTGCTGGCGTTGCTCCTGTGCACACTTTACATGGCTGGGCATGTGGTGTTGGGAAATACTCTGGGCAGAGGGGCCCTGTGCTCACAGTCCTCAGCCTGTCCCTGTCTTCTGACCTGGTCCTACCTGTGATTATTACTCTGTCTCTGTTTTGTCGTCTCCCTAATGATAAACTTAGCTTACATCACTCTGTGAAACTTTATAATATTTGGAAATGTAAGAGACACTCAGAAAGATGCAAAGGTGGCATCTCTTCTCATTTCCTCCTTTATCCTCAGCATTCACAGGGCCGCGTGCACCCTTGCAGCCTCTGGCACTCCAGGGTGCTCCCCCTTCGTCCCTGCAGGATGCCCCAGCTCTCCTTCTTGCCCAGCAGACCTTCCAGGAATCCCATGGAAACGCTGTGGGATTGTCCCTGTCCAGTGCCCTGACACCTGGGCACAGCACCAGAAGACTGCCAGCTCTTTAAAATCCTGATGACTACTCACAGGGCAACTTTTCCCACAAATACATATACAAAAAGGAATGGGGAGTTCTTCTGTTTTCTGAGGATTAAGGCCACACGGTTATAGTTCAAGCCACAGTATAAAAATATTACAGAGCCATAAGGATAAATAATTGTCTAAAAGCCTGAAGAGTTGTCACCAAATTGGAAAACCCCCATGTGAAGAGGTTAAGGTTGACGTCCCTGTTGTCCGTCCTCTTTCTCCTGAGTCCTCCACTTGAGCAGGATCCACGTCTCCTCTGGGTGGTCACGTGAGAGAAGTCTGCACCATGGGAGCTGAGGCGTCCTTGTGATCCAGGTGCAGTTTCTGTGTGATTGAGGCCGGAAGTGTGAGCAGTTCCACAATTTTGCTCCCAAAAACACATAACTAATCTTAGTCATGTATCAAAGATTTTATAAAGTGGATTAATGTGTCTGTCTTTGGAAATAGCAAAAGAACAGGCTTGACAATGATGTCAGTTTCTGTTTCCATGTAAAATGCTAGAGCCTGAAGTAGAGAGTAACTTTGCCCTTTTGGACTCAGAACCTACAAATTGAAAGTTCTAATGTTAAAATCAAATTTTTTTTTAAGGAATTGCCAGACTCAATTTTCTCTTTTTTTTTTCTTGATATATAAAAAGATTATTTTGTTATAATACTGGCAGACCAAATAATTGCAAACATTTTTGACATGGTTTCGAAGTCCGTGTCTGATTAAAACTTCTATAATGATGTGGTTTCCAGAGAATGGACTAAACCCTAGGATTTTCCAGTAAAGTGCATTTATTTTTTAAGAAGATCTCAGGTAGTGCTTTGTATCTGTCTTTGGTTTTGAAAGGAACCCAGGAGCTGTAACTACGCAGGAATGATGATTGGGACCAAACATGAAGAGTGCTGCCATCTGGATAGTTAGGTTTGGATGAATAGGTTGTGCAGACCATGAAACTTACTTTCTGCAGATGTTGGCGTTTCTAGCCACCCCGTGCTCGTGTTTTGTCCTCGCCATGAGTGGAGAGGGCACCGCGTGCGCCCCTGCTGCCCACTCAGGCACAGAGGTCAGGCAAGGGCACAAGGCATCTGCACGAGCTAGTGTGGTTTCCTAGTGTCGATTTTGATAACCCCTTTCCTGTGAGGAGATGCTAGTTTACCTAAGAGAACACACTACTTTTTAATATCCCCTTTTTATTACCCCACACAGTTCTCTACTGTCTCCTCTTGTGCCTCTACTAACCCTGCTGTGTTTCTGCAGATGGCATCAGCAGCTGCCCTGCGGTGAAGGAGTGGTTTGTGTACCCTGGGAACCCACTGAGGCACCCGGACCTCGTCAGGCCCCTGCCGATGACTGTCCCAGGTACAGACAGCCTTGGTTTAAGTAAACTGCTTGTCTCCTCTTGCGTGATGTAAGCTTGAGAATGGGCCAGTTGTGGAAGCATCTTTTTCCACGTACCGATTTTCATTTAAACCCTTGGCCCAAGATGGATGTGTCTGTCTCATGCGGTCCCCAGCTAAGGGAAGCGGTGACGTTATAGCAGATGTGCCCTGGACCCACCTGCTGCATTACTCTTCACTCCCCTCCTCCCGCCTGCCCGAGGTCACAGTGGCGGGCAGAGGAAAGACACAGGGCGGCTGTGGTCAGAGTCCAGTCACTGGAGTTGGGCAGGATCAGGTTCTGCTTGTCTCAGCTCTCACCCTCTCCCCGCTGCTGACGGTCATTAGATGAGCTGTGGGATTGGACATGGGCATAAAAAGGAGAGTTATCTTAACTGGAGAAAATAAGTTATAAAAGTTAGTTGAAGTAAATCCCAAGAGCAGCCTTTCTTCCTGCGAGTTCTTAGTGTCTGGAAAAGGTCAGGGGCGTCTGGCTGTTGGGTGCTGCTCTGGACAGCTGAGGAGGAGGCTGAGTTCTAGGGCTTATTTTTAGTGTCTGTGTCATTGTTACAGAGAACACATTTTTCTGGAGTTTTGCTATTCCATGTTCATATACATTAAATTCTCTGGTGTCACTACAATTTTCTATCACATACGCCTGTAATTTACCAAATATGGATCTGAGCACTGCAAATGTTTTTTTTAATAAATGGAATTGTATTGAGAGAGAAGTTGAGAAAAGTGACTTTAGGGAATGTTTCCTTATTCTGTCAATGAGTGATAGACTCAGACCTAGTGTTTATCACAAAAATAAATTAAAATGCATTGACATTTGTTTTTATAGCAAGAAGTATTTTTTAAAAAGATAGCCTGGCCGGGTGCAGTGGCTCACGCCTGTAATCCTATCACTCTGAGAGGCCGAGGTGGGCGGATCACTCGAGGTCAAGAGTTTGAAATGAGCCTGAGCGAGACCCCATCTCTACCAAAAATAGAAAGAAATTAATTGACCAACTAAAAATATATATATATATATAAAATTAGCCGGGCATGGTGGCGCATGCCTGTAGTCCCAGCTACTCAGGAGGCTGAGGCAGAAGGATTGCTTGAGCCCAGGAGTTTGAGGTTGCTGTGAGCTAGGCTGATGCCATGGCACTCACTCTAGCTTGGACAACAAAGTGAGACTCTGTCTCAAAAAAAAAAAATGATAGCCTAAGTAATTTTCCAGAAACATTGTTATATACATAACTTTTATCTCATAGTGTCCTTACAAAAATAATACGGTAAAGGTTTATTATAGCTTTCTTCATTGTTTGAATTAAAGAGGGTGTTTGGCTATGCATCATTATATTAAATGTCAACAATGCTAAAACTGCAATCACTTTTCCACCAACCTAATAAAAAAGAAATCACAGATATTTTTCAATAAAGTGGAAGTGAAGCAGACAATATTGTAGAGATTATTTAAAAATTAAAAAAGGGAAAGAATTAAAGTTGACCCACCAAGGAGCAGAAAAAGAAATCTCATTACTAGTTGCTATGGTCTGAATGTATGTAGCCCCCAAAATGTATATGTTGAAAACCTGTTCACCACTATGATGATATGAGGAGAATAGGGCCTTTGGGAGGTGACCAGATGTCGTTTGTGCCCTTTTGAGAGAGACCCAGAGAGCTGCGCTGCCCCTCTGCATGTGAGGGCATGGCCAGGAAGTGCTGTCTTGGAGCCAGGGCTTCAGCAGGTAGCAACCAGCCCCCAGAAACGTGAGAAGCAGATTTCTGTGGTCATAAACTACCCAGATTATGGCATTTCGTTACAGCAGCCCCAATGGACCAAGACACTAGTTTGTTTTATTCAGGGATTTCATTTATATGCATATGTTCCTATTCCCCATCTTTGGGTGCATGCATGTGCACGTGTGTAAAATGTGTATGCACCACATTTCCTTTACTCCACGGCATGTCATGAAGGTCCTGGAAGTATGCGTGTGTGTGTGTGCATGTGTATAGGGTGTGTACACATTTCCTTTACTCCAAAGCATATCATGAAGGCCTTGGAGGTGTGTGTATGCATGTGCACGTGTATAGGATGTGTATTTCCTTTACAGCATGTTACGAAGATCCTGGAAGTATGCGTGTGCATGTGTATAGGGTGTGTACACATTTCCTTTACTCCACGGCATATCATGAAGGCCTTGGACGTGTGTGTATGCGTGTGCATTTGTATGGGATGTGTACACATTTCCTTTACTCCAAAGCATATCATGAAGATCCTGGAAGTATGCGTGTGCGTGTGCATGTGTATAGGGTGTGTACACATTTCCTTTACTCCACAGCATATCACGAAGATCCTGGAAGTACACATATGTGTGTGCACGTGTATAGGGTGTGTACATATTTCCTTTACTCCTCAGTATATCACGAAGGCTCTAGAGGCATGCGCGTGCTCCTTCCCAGCATTCTTCCCTGCTCTGGTGCTTTCTGCACGCCTTCCTGACCTCCTCCATTCTGTGCGAGTGAGCTGGGCCAGACCACAGGCCAGACACGTGAAGGAGCCTCTCCTGTCTCCAGGCTGGAGAATTCTTCTCCAGACAAAGTATAATGACTCTTTTTTTCTCTTCTCAGTGTCAGTTTTTATTCATTAATAGCATATCCAGGCCGGGCATGGTGGCTCACACCTGTAATCCTAGCACTTTGGGAGGCTAAGATGGGGAGATCGCTCAAGGTCAGGAGTTCGAAACCAGTCTGAGCAAGAATGAGACCCCATCTCCACTAAAAATAGAAAGAAATTAATTGGCCAATTAAAAATATATAGAGCCGGGCGTAGTGGCTCACGCCTGTAATCCTAGCACTTTGGGAGGCCGAGGCGGGCGGATTGCTCAAGGTCGGAGTTCGAAACCAGCCTGAGCAAGACCCCGTCTCTACCAAAAATAGAAATAAATTAATTGACCAACTAAAAATATATATACACACAAAAAAATTAGCCAGGCATGGTGGCGCATGCCTGTAGTCCCAGCTACTCGGGAGGCTGAGGTAGTAGGATCGCTGAGCCCCGGAGATTGAGGTTGCTGTGAGCCAGGCTGATGCCACGGCACTCACTCTAGCCTGGGCAACAAAGTGAGACTCTGTCTCAAAAAAAAAAAAAAAATATATAGAATAAATTAGCCAGGCATGGTCGCGCATGCCTGTAGTCCCAGCTACTCAGGAGGCTGAGGCAGAAGGATTGCTTGAGCCCAAGAAAGAGCATATCCTTATTTTAGAAACCCAGGAAAGCTAATAATACACATCTAATTGGTAATTTGTCTATCTTGAATGAATTTTTACAATATTGAGCAATCAGTAAGTGAACTTAGTATTTCTTGGTTATATACGTTTGACATACAAGAAGCTTGCAGAACATCTTAGATGACTATTTCACAAAATGAGATATGGGGAAGTCATGCATTTCATGACGAAAAGGAGCTATATTTGATTCATTCTATCAATTTCTATTAAATGATTGTAGTGAAGTCTTATTTCTCCTTTATACTGTTGAAGGTTTTCATTTTGACATTTTGATGCATGCAGGTCAAGAAAGTCTTGACATATCTCAGGGGTTTCTGTAAATGGTAGAAGAAGGTTGTGTGTTTGCGCATGTGCCCTGAATGAGATGCCTCTGATGCAGCTGCCAGTGCCTGGAACTGTATCCTGACCATCAGGGAGCAAGATAAGTGGGTAAAAATCTCAGGAGTGGTTTTTCTCTCATTTGTAAAAATAGTGTGAAGCTTTGTCAGATGTGTTAAAAATTCACATTAGAGTCATAAGACAAGGGTTAAATTTTTGTGTTGAATACTTTTTATAGCCATATTCACTGTTTCTTGAAAGTGTTAAGTAGAAGTAGTGATGTCATTTTGTAAGCAGAAAATGAGGCAATTCAGCCATGTAAGTATACCTGAGCTGTTAATACATTCTACTTTATATCTGAATGCATTTTCTTGCTTATTATAAGTATGTTATTGAAATTTATTCATCCAAAGACTCACTTTGTATGTGAGTAGTTTTTAATTTTAATTTGTTTTTGTCCAGGAATGCTCTACCAACAAAGAGTACTAAATAAATATTCTTATAAATTGAGCTCGTGAATTAAAACTTTCACAAATGAACTTGAGGTATAAAATATATGCTAGTTAATTCTAGGAGTTTCACCTCTTACTTCCTGAGAGTGGACACAAGCCAGCCAGTTTTACTATTTTTTCACCTTAGGTATATGCAGGGAAGATAACCGTAAGATAATGCAAAAACCTGGCTGTTAAAATACTTATTTCCATATAAAAAGCACATATAAGTGCCATGGCTTAGCATCTAGCATGTCTTTTATTCATTCACTTGTATTTATGGCTGTGAAAGCACAAAACAGGGCAGTTTCTTTGTCACTGAGGCCTGTCCATAACCTCCCCTGGGGTCCAGTCCTCACAGACGTCCCGTGAGGCAGTCTTCGAAGTTGTCAGTCTCAGAAATGACCTCCTTCACCCACCCTCTGCCTGGCCTTCTAGGGCTCAGTCCCTCCTTAAAAGCCCTGTCCTGTCCACCGACTCACACAAATCTTACCAAGTGCTTTAGTTAGGTTTTTGAAGCTGATGCATTTTAGATGTGATCGGGTGGGTGACCTGGCGACATACTGCTTGTTTAGGGCTCTGAGGTCTCTAGGTCGTTGTTGGAAACATCTCCGCTGCCCATGGCTTTGATCTTTGTTGGCGGTTTTATCCTGTGTTGACCAGAAAAGTGACAGAATGTATAAATTTAGAAAGGAGGCTCTATTCCTAAAAGAGGATACCGCAGCTTTCAGGCTGGAAGCAGAACCTCCAGCCAAAACCAAGAAGCGAACACTTCGAGAGAACAGTAACCGGAACAGGAATTTATGCTGAATGGGTGGCCGAGTGTGCATATTTAACAAGCTGTAGGGGCAGTCATGAGTATTGACAAGAGGAGAACAAGAAATGGCTGAGCTTCATGCCCCTGTGGGGGACCCATGTTCAGAAAGCGGTAGCCTTAACATGATCTGAGGGTGGCGTTTTCAGCCCTCTCACATCGAAAGGTGCAGTGGAGGACGTGAAGCCTTTACTGCGTGCAGCCTCCATGGACTGCTCAGACCACGCTGTGGTCAGTGGCCTCTTATCAGGAAGGGTGCTGGTCAGTTGTGTTGGAACCACAAAAGGGAGTTGTAGTCTGGAGGTTGGTTGTAGTCGGGTGGAGCAGGTCTTTCCAAAGGGCTGGTTCTGTTTAGCACTGGGGTGCGAGGGTGGGGAGAAGCCTGAGGACAGTGATCGAGGGGATATATAACAAGACCTGTCCAACCTCCCATCCTGTCTCTGCCAAGAACTCAGTGTTAAAGTTTCTCTGGGGTCGCTTTGTCTGAGAGGGGTCCATTCAGTCAGTTGGGGCTTAGCATTTTATTTTTATTTCTCAGTATCCAAACATATCAACACATAGAAAAAGTGTAGTAAAAATGCGATATCATAATCTTGTCATTAACCACAGCGTCATTATGTAGCACCTGACACTACACTAGATATATTTTACGAATCTTCATTTTTTTGTATTGAACTTCCATGTGTGAGCAGGGATACACAAGGTAAACCTTTCTCTGCCCATCGCTGTGCACTCTGAGCTATCTATGATCCATCAATATTTTGTATACATTAAAAAATAAGCCTCATGTTTGTTTCCTGGGGTAAAAAAAATAGGACTAGAAGTTATATTTCAAAATATGGTTATATCTGGGTGGTGGGATTATAGATTATCTTTATTTTCTTATCCCTTTCTATTTTTTAAGAATGTTTACAATTCTGACTTTGTAGGCGGGAAAAAAGTGTTTTTCAAAAATGACACTGTATTTGAAATACCTGTGATGATGGAAGATTTATTATTTACCTTAGAAGTTGGCAGACTTTCTTTTTAGAGTGGCATAGTAAATGTTTTAGGCTTTTCAGGCCACATGGTCTGTTACTTAACTCTGCCATTAAAGCACAGAAGGAGCCGTGATCAGCATGTAAATGAATGAGCATGGCAGTTTTCCAATAAAACTTTATTGATGGACACTGAAATTGGAATTTCATATGATGTTCTTTCATGAAATATTATTTTTCTTTTGATTTTTTTCAACTATTTAAAAATGTGAAAACCATTCTCAGTTCACAAGCTGTATAAAAACAAGCGGTGGGACAGGTTTGGCCCACAGGCTGCAGGCCCTTGCTTTAGTGTTTCTAAGAAGTAATTGCTGACACATTTGAATTTCTTAACATCTTAATGTCTCTATCTTAAGTACCAGTGCCATAGATTGTTTTTTGTTTGTTTGGGGTTTGTTTTTTTTTTTTTTTGCTTATTTTTTAAAGAGTATTGTCTTTCTCCCATGAGAAAAAGGATTTTTTTTTTCCTCCAAAATAAATAATGAAAAGGCTTTTTAGATGGCGGGAACACTTCAGTCATTTCAGAAATGCAAGTGACTGGTGAGTTGTTTCACTTTCTGATGGTGGGAAGTACACCACTGAAAATAGTAAGGGATGTCGTGGAAAAATAAGAAAGAAAAGAATTTCCTTTTTGAGTCATTTGATTCTCTTTTTTTTTTTTTTTTTTTTTTTTCTTAGAGTCATTTGATTCTAATATCATTTGATCCGAGGGTTTGCTTACTTAAACATGCAGGATATATTTTACAGCTACATCCACCTAACAGAGGATCACAGCTGTTGACAGTAACAGGAGGTGTGTCACCAATCACAGATCAATGTATGTGATCTTAAAGGGACACCGTTCTGCATGTCAGAAAGTGGGAGGGAATTGCCCCCACATCTGCAGTTCTGTGTCTTCATTTAGATTCATCCACGGTTGTTGTGATTTAAATGTTAGGTTGGTGCAAATGTAATTGCGATTTTAACATTGTTGACATTTGCCCTTTGATATTGTAATACATTCTAAATAAATGTGGTTATGTAATACATCATTTTAATGCGGACTTCTTTATGTGTTTTTGCTAATGACTTATTACTTGCTATTTATTTTATACATATTTTATACTATGGAAATGATGTTAGACAAAAAGCAAATTTGAGCCGGGCGCGGTGGCTCACGCCTGTAATCCTAGCACTCTGGGAGGCTGAGGCGGGCGGATTGCTCAAGGTCAGGAGTTCGAAACCAGCCTGAGCAAGAGCAAGACCCCGTCTCTACTATAAAGAGAAAGAAATTAATTGGCCAACTAATATATATATATAAAAAAAAAATTAGCCGGGCATGGTGGCGCATGCCTGTAGTCCTAGCTACTCGGGAGGCTAAGGCAGAAGGATGGCTTGAGCCCTGGAGTTTGAGGTTGCTGTGAGCTAGGCTGACGCCACGGCACTCACTCTAGCCTGGGCAACAAGCAAGACTCTGTCTCGGAAAAAAAAAAAAGCAAATTTGAGCGATTTTCTTATTCGTGTTCAAAATGTGTCGTAAAGCAGCAGAGACAACTCGCAACGTCCATGACGCATTTGGCCCAGGAACTGCTAACGACCATGCAGTGCAGTGGGGGGTCAAGAAGTTTTGCAACAGAAACGAGAGCCTTGAAGATGAGGAGCGCAGTGGCCATCGGAAGTTGACCATAACCAATTGAGAGCAACCATCAAAGCTGATCTTCTTGCAACTACACGAGAAGTTGCTGAAGAACTCAGCGTCGACCATTCTACAGTCACATTGTTTGGCATTTGAAGCAAATTGGAAAGGTGAAAAAGCTTGATAAGTGGCTTCTTCATGAGCTGACTGCAAATCAAAAAAATCGTTGTTTTGAAGTGTCATTCTCTTATTGTATGCAACAAGGAACCATTTCTTGATCAGATCGTGATGTGTGATAAAAAGTGGATTGTCTATGACAACCTACAATGAACAGCTCAGTGGTTGGACCAAGAAGAAGCTCCAAAGCACTTCCCAAAGCCAAACTTACACAAAGAAAAGGTCATGGTCACTGTTTGGTGGTCTGCTGCCAGTCTGATCCACTGCAGCTTTGTGAATCCTGGCGAAACCATTACATCTGAGAAGTATACTCAGCAAATCGAGGAGATATACCCAAAACTGCCACACCTGCAGCTGGTATTGGTCAATAGAAAGGGCCTGATTCTTTTCCATGACAACGCCCTACCACAACGTCACAACCAACGACTTCCAAAGTTGAATGAATTGTGCTATGAAGTTTTGCCTCATCCACCATATTCACCTGACCTCTCAACAACCGACTCCCACTTCTTCAAGCATCTCAACAGCTTTTTGCAGGGATAACTCTTCCACATCCAGCAGGAAATGCTTTCCAAGAATTCATTGAATCCCGAAGCGTGGATTTTTGCGCTACAGGAATAAACAAAGTTACTTCTCCTGGCAAAATATGTTGATTGTAATGGTTCCTGTTTTGATTAATAAAGATGTGTTCAAGCCTAGTTACAGTGATGTAAAATTCATGGTCCAAAATAGCAATTACTTTTGCACCAACCTAATAAGAGATTTTTTTCTTTTGATATTAGGAATGTAAGTGTATATATAAAGTATAGAAATTAAACATGAAATATTATATTTTAGGGATCTCTGTTTATTTAATAGTTTTAGGGAACTGCGTTATAAAGTGTGGGGTCCACAGATGACCTGCATCCAAGTCTTCCTGTAGATTTCTGGGCACCCATACCTGTCAAATCAGAATTTCTGCATATAGATCCCAGGAAAGGGCATTTTTTACAATCTCTGCAGCTGATTCTTCTGCATACGAAAGTTTGAAAACCATTTGTTTAGGGGTGTAAGAGAACAAACTAAAGCGGTAGGTTGATGGTGCCTCTCCAGGTGTGTGTGCATCACGCCTGAGGTGTGTCAGCGTGGCACTTCTGCGTTACAGCCCGAGTTGGCACGTTCGAAGTTTGTTCTGAAAAGTGTCTTAACAATAGAGAGTGCAGCCTGGGTGGGAACAAAAGCCCCTGGTTTCCCTCAAAATTTAGCCATCAAGAAAAGGAGGAGGCCGGGCGCGGTGGCTCACGCCTGTAATCCTAGCTCTTGGGAGGCCGAGGCGGGCGGATTGCTGGAGGTCGGGAGTTCGAAACCAGCCTGAGCAAGAGCGAGACCCCGTCTCTACTATAAATAGAAAGAAACTAATTGGCCAACTAATATATATAGAAAAAATTAGCCAGGCATGGTGGCGCATGCCTGTAGTCCCAGCTACTTGGGAGGCTGAGACAGAAGGATCGCTTGAGCCCAGGAGTTTGAGGTTGCTGTGAGCTAGGCTGACGCCACGGCACTCACTCTAGCCTAGGCAACAAAGCGAGACTCTGCCTCAAAAAAAAAACAACAAAACAAAACAAACAAACAAACAAAAAACACAGAACAAATAAAGTGTAATTTAAAAAAAAAAAAAGAAAAGGAGGAGAGTTTTCAATTTTTTTTTTTTTTTAACTAGGAAACTCTGATCATGTTTACTTCCCAGCTCCTTCAAGCTTTAAAGTCCTAAGTATATCAGGAAGGGAAGAGATTTGTTTCCTTTTATTTCTAGAAGAAATATATTATAACTTGCTGCTGCAAAGAATAATGCTACACGGACTTTTTCTTTTTTTTAACTAGGGGGAATGCCTAGTTTGAAATTGTTGTGGCTGAACCAGGAGCCAGAAGTACAGGCCCGGCGCATGGATGCACTCCTGGCTTGTTTCAACCTGTCTTCCTCCAGAGAAGAGCTGCAGGCCCTGGAGAGCCCATTCGCAGCTCTGTGCTGCCTCCTCATCTACCTGTTTGTCCAGGTAACTTGAGTGCTGAGAAGCTGTGCTGTGGGGTATGGCCTTGGGTCCTGGGTCATCCTTCTCCAGTGTCTGTTCCCTGGAACACTGGTAGTCCTTTGAGGTGCTCTAAATAGAAAAAGAAGGTTCTGTGGTGAAATACTTTTGAGAAACCCTGTCTGCTCTGTCAGACTTACGATCGTGGTGCCCATGAGTAGTAGAGGCTTAGGAAATCCTACAGGTGTAGGAACCTGCGTTAGCTCTGATTAAACTTCCTCAAGCTGTTGAGGTCCCGTGGTGCAGCCCCGTGTCCTGTGGTGGTTGGGGTTGTTCTGTTGCTGGGTGTGCTGCGATGCTGGGAGGCACCTGCCTCCCCTAGTTGCTCTGCACCTCTGGGCAGATCGTTCAGCTTTCCTGAGTCGTGTGCATCTGGCAGGGGCTCAGTGAGCACTTGGCCTCCTCTCCTCCGTGAAAACGAGAGGATGATAGTAACAGCTTTCTGGGGTTAGTGCACAGCCACGTTCTGGGAAACACGGGGATGGTTTTTGCAGAAGGGCCCAGTAACATGCCTGCTGTGTTGACATCGTCATCATCATCGTCTATGTCCTCCTGGCCTGCTAGGCTAGCACACCTCAGGGTAGGGCTGCGCATTAGAAATTGGGGCACCTGAGCCTTCGTGTCACTCACGGCTTGGGCTGTTTCTTTTTCATTAGTTTTACAGTTTATGTATGAAAATCATAAAGTCCAATTAACAGAGTCCTCTTTTTAATAGTTTTCTACCTTTGCGATAATGTTTGGACCCCTTAGTAAAAGAAGGCTGAGAGGAGAACCCTTTGTCTCCCAGCCTATTTCTCCAGATACCTTCTCGCGTCCTCCTTCCCAGCTGTGTGATTTAGGGTGATTTTTGTCTCATTGTTAATAGGGCGTCTACTTCTGCCTGTGGAGACTTTCTCATAAACTCTCTGACCCCTTCAGGTTGTCCTGTCAGCTCCCCCGTCTCCCTCTGTGCAGGGTCTGCTTCACCATGACCACTGGTTTCATTGCCTGGAGTAGGAAGTTCTGTGAGTCTGTTTTTCACACCTGAATACGTATTATTGATCGTCTTTAGGAACTTGGCTCTTAGGGAAGAGTGACACCCCAGGGAACCCTGCTCTGATTTCTCCTTTCTGAACGTCCTCTTGGCTTTGCACCTTCTCTAGTTTGCTCTCCATTTTGCATTTTGTAAAAATGTGGGTAAATGGCTCTTAGAGATTTGGTTGCCTCATTATTGGTTTCACATAACACCAGTGTAAACTTTAGTTTTTGTGTTACTGTTTACTTCTTTGTTTGCACAAGACTTAATAAAGCATAAATTAATATAGGATGGTAGAAGTTATTTAATTCTTGAATGTACAAACATCTTTTTTTTGAGACACAGTCTCACTCTGTTGTCCGGGCTAGAGTGCCATGGCATCAGCCTAGCTCACAGCAACCTCAAACTCCTGGGCTCAAGCGATCCTCCTGCGTAGCTGGGACTACAGGCACGTGCCACCATGCCCGGCTAATTTTTTCTATATATTTTTAGTTGTCCAATTAGTTTCTTTCTATTTTTAATAGAGATGGGGTCTCGCTCTTGCTCAGGCTGGTCTCGAAATCCTGACCTGGAGCGATCTGCCCACCTCACCCTCCTGGAGTGCTAGGATTACATATCTCTTTTGATATTACTAAATATGCATGCATGTGTTGTCAGTTAATATTTTCTGTCCATTGTTTAGAAATCTTCAGGTGTCTATGGTTGAAGCTTAGCCATGGTGGGGAGTGGTAGGTAGCCAGTAACAGAATTTTCTCACCCACAAAGATAAGTGTGTTTTGTTCTCGATGCTGTGTGCACATAGCCATGAGATGCCACAGGGTCAGCCCTAGGACCTGCACGTGGAAGTGCTTTACCAGCGGTGTCGACTGGAGTTCAGCAAAGATCTGCCCCCTGTCAGCTGTGCATTGGCCGTCGTTGTAAAAATCCACTTCAGACAGAAAAAGTCCAAAGTCCTAGAATAGTAGCTCTATGTCCCTATTTATATACACCTGAAGGAAAACAAACATCAGGAGTAAAATTTCCACTTTACCTTTTCTCAGTTAATAATGACCTTTTTTTTTTAAATAATGACCTTTTAAATAAAATCTCTACAGCATAAGTCAGTGTGAGTAGACTCAGTGATGTGGCTTTAAAGGAGATGTTAAAATTGGAACTTTTTTATTTAAAAAAAAATATTTTTTTTTGAGACAGAGTCTTACTCTGTTGCCTGGGCTAGAGTGTCGTGGCCTCAGCCTTGCTCACAGCAACCTCAAACTCCTGGGCTCAAGCAATCCTGCCTCAGCCTCTTGAGTAGCTGGGACTACAGGCATGTGCCACCATGCCCGGCTGATTTTTTCTATATTTTTAGTTGTCCAATTAATTTCTGTTTTTTTAGTAGAGACAGGGTTTCGCTCTTGCTCAGGCTGGTTTTGAATTCCTGACCTTGAGGGATCCATCCGCCTCAGCCTCCCAGAGTGCTAGGATTACAGGCATGAGCCACCGTGCCCGGCCAAAATTGGAACTTTTTAAAATTAGAAAACGGCAAATTGACAAATCAGTGGTAACCATTAAGTTAAGAAGCCACTGTATTATTCACAGGGATAATTACTCTCTCAATAAGGCTAAAAAGACCAATTTATAAAAACATTGTAATTTTATATAGCTAAGCCTAACTTAGATGTTTTGATCTGCAATATGAGTTGAAAAAAATTGTTGCTGCTCTGCATACACAAACTACAGAGAAACTGTTAATAAATACAGTTGCCCCTTGGTGTCCTTGGGGGATTGGTTTTAGGCCCCTGAGTATACTGAAATCTGTGCTTACTCAAGTCCTGCAGTTGGCCCAGCAGAATTGGTGTGTTTGAAAAGTCCTCTCTGTACAAAAGATTTTGCCTTCCCGTGAATACTGCATTTCCCATCCTAGTTTGGTTGTGAAAAGTCTGCATATAAATGGACCTGCCCAGTTCAAATCCGTGTTGTTCAGGGGTCAAGTGTATTTTCATTTGACCTGACCTGCATGTTTACAGCAACAAAAGATTTTATTAAAGATTTATCTGAGAAAATCCTCTGGAGGCATAAGTTTACATCATAGGAAAGGTACCTATTTTTTATAATCTATAGCAGAACAAATACTTTATAATAATGCACACCTTATAATGTATACTGTTAAATGATATCCATTATGTGAAATCCTAAAAAGTTAGATATTACTAAGTGTCTTAGGCAACCTCTGATGTATCTTAGTTGTGCTAATTACAAAAATGGTAGAGTATGAAATTGTTTAACTGTACAAACATGATGTATAAAATAGTTATTCTTTTCTTATAGGTTGGTATTTTAAGACCAGCATTCTTCCAAAGTTACTAAGGCAGGGCATAGACTTACATACTGGCAACCTCAGTCTGCACAGTGAGGGAGCTTGTGGATTTCAGAAAACAACATGCTGTGCTTGGGCTTCTAAGACTTGCATCTGTTTTCTTGGTCATGGGTATTATGCATTTGCAGACTCTCCCCACCCCCAATAATTAGAATTGCTCATTTATACAAAGGGTGACACCCACTTAGGAATAAAAGTGGACTAGTATACGATAGGGTCAGTAGGACGGTTGGCAGGTCTCGGCAGTCAGTGTCTCCAGGCAGGGCGTGTGTCCAGTGGGTGACCAGGAGTACCTAATGGACAGTCTTTGTGATTTAGGATGCGGTCATTTTTACTGGAGATGGGCACATTAGCCATTTTTATTGTCCAGAAAGAGTCAGTGAAATTGTTACCGGTGAGTTTGTTGTTTTCCTGTTTGCTTTCCCTGAGCCTTTCTTTGCCATGGTCATGCTCTATGGGAACAGGTTCCCATGGTCTTGTGACGGTGGTGGGGTTGGGTGGAATTAGTCAGTGGGTTCCGTGCTGCTGTTATCTGGCAGGGCGAGGAAGTCTTGGCCTCACGGCGGAGTGAGGCAGGAGGCAGCAGTGGACGCTGTCTGCTGTCAGATGTCCACAGTTTCCTTGAGACCCAGCCATTCTCAGTCTGCTTCTTTCTTTTCTCTGGTTTCCCACACACTCCTGTTAGATCTGTGGATTTCAGTGTACTTTAATCTGGAATCTGAGCACACAGGTTTCACCTGGGTGGAGGGAGACAGGTGTTGACCGCCCACCCCTGAGCTGTCCACTCTGCAGTTGCTGCCAGAAGTGATGGCCTGTGTTCCTCTCAGACTCAGACTTGAGTGGCACCTCCTGGTCTTTCCCAGGTATTCCGGAGATTTCTGCCTTGCTGGAGAGTACCTTTACTAGCAGTCAGATTCCCCTGTTCAGCCTGGTCTGTGAGTTGTGTGCACAGCCGAGGACACGTGGAAGGAGCTTCATGGGCAGGGGCCGAGGGCAGTGAGGGAAGAGCCTGTGCTTTCTTCACCCCATGTCCCTTGCTGCCCCATGTGTGTCTGTGTGTGCATGTGTATACCTGTGTATGCACATGTGTGCCTGTGTGTGCGCGTGACATGCGTCCATATTTATCAACTGGGATCGGTTTGTGAGACGTGTAGGATGTCCTGCTGTCACCTAACGCTGGCCTTCCTCTGTCCCTTGCAGGTAGACACCCTTTGCCTGGAGGATTTGCATGCGTTCATTGCCCAGGCCCTGTGCCTCCCAGGAAAATCAACTGCTCAGCTGGTAAACTTACAGGTACAGAGATGACCAGTTAGTTGTCACAGCCCTGAAGACAAGGGGACATGACCAGAGGGTCGGCATTCCTTCCCACCCCCTCTTTCCGTCATCACAGTTGACATTTCTCAGAGAGGATGGGACCACATTTTAGCTGCGGTCTTTCCACAAGGAGCAGCTGTCATGTCTCTTAGGCAGCTCGAGCTCACCAGGGTCAGATGCTGACAAGTGCTGCCTCGGCTCCAGGTTGGGAAGCTCACAGTTCAGTGCTATCTGCCCCCATAGTCTCATAATTTGAGGAAAGTTGTTTATTTGATCCTATGTAACAGGGGTTCCCCAACCTATGGTGAGTTGTGTAATTATTTCATTATATATTACAGTGTAATAATAATAGAAATAAAGTACATGATAAATTTAATGTGCTTGAATCATCCTGAAACCACCCTCCATCCACCCACCCCTGGTCTGTGGGAAGATTGTCTTCCATTAAAATGATTCCTGGTGCTAAAAAGTTTGGGGACCACTGCTTTATAAGCCTCACTACGTTCTGGGGTCAGTGGTTTGGGCCAGTTTGCATGCTACCCACCTGTTCTATCCCCAGGCCTTGCCTCGCTTCTCAGCCTGCCCTGGCGAACCTCGAGGGCCCTGCGCACCTTCCCACACCCTCTCCTGGTGCTGTGTATGTGGCCAGTGTTCAGTGAAGGAGGTTCATGTAAAGGGGAAGGCTTACCCCACCCAGAGACCCGCACCCGCCATTGTTCTTATTCAGACGTTGCCATGGGGAGTGTTTGTTCCTTTAGTCTCACCAATGGCCCACTCCCAGCTAAGCTCTGTGACTCTGCTCTGCCGGCTGCAGCCTTTGAGATCTGGACGTTGGGTGTTTCCTGTTGGAAAATCCCCCCTCAGGTCAGTTGTGGAGTGGAATCTAAGGCTTTGTTTTACAAATGCTGTTTGATAATGATAATTTTTTTAGCTTTATCCATAGCTTCTATTTAGTGGAATTCATTATTCGTCTTCCAAGTGATGAAAACTAGTAAATTTCATTTGTAAGTGACCTTTTACCTCATAACTCTTGCATAGTAGTTTAATTCGTAACTAATTCTCACAGCAGTCCAAGTAAATGAATAATGCCAGATCTTTTTCTTTTGTATTAGAAATTTCATCATTGTTAAAAAGCTATTTTTAAAAGTGATCTTTTTTTTTTAACTTCCATTAAGCAAAACAGAATCTCAAAAAGTTGACTTTGAGTTATCAGTAGGTTAATATTAATTCCTCATGCTGACCTGGAGCCCACTACCAACTGTCCTTCTGGGCCCTGGTAGGACCCACCACCAGCTGTGGCTTCCCTGGTATAGCTGAGCAGCTCCCAGCACAGCTGAGGGCCCCCCCTGCTCTCCTCTTCCCTGTCAGTAGAACTAAACCAGCAGACAGGTGGAAAGGGTCTTTGAGCTCCTGTCCTCTTGTCCTGAGGTAGTGTGGACAGCAAACAGTGGGTTTGGGAGTTAGGGTCTGCCCCCACCTGCTGAGTAATCTCGAACAACTTATTAAGAACATACAGCAAGTAACTGAACTTGTGAGTCTCAGGTTCCACTCAGCTATAAAATTTGCAGTGTGGTTTTTCTTCTGTGTTTCGCATGTGACCCCTACTCTGCGTCTCATGACTCGCCATGCTTACCTCCTTGTTACTGGCAGAGCTGAAGTAGAGCTCCTGCCACCGTGCCATCTCCGAGAGGTAAGAGTGGAGAAAACATGGGAAAAGGACACCATGAAAACCCTCTCTCGCATGCACGGCCCCATGCAGAGGCTGTTTCTCCCTGGCCATCCACTCGCCAGCTCAGTACACACAACCATCAACCATCACAGAGGTTTTTTCCAGACCTCTAGTTTTTCCCATTAAGAGTGAGACTTGTGCCAAATGTCACTGATCACAGGTTCCTTCTGAGCGCCGACTGGGCAGCTGTGCCATCAGTGACGCCTGAGGTCACATGGGAAGATACTTCAGCAAAGACAGGGTTTTTGTAACAAGCCATGGGCAGTCCAGGACTGTCTTCATATTCTAGGCAGGGATGGCTCATGGCTTCACAGTGCTTCTGGGCTCCTTTCTCAGTCCATTTGTGTTGCTATAAAGGAATACTCAAGACTGGGTAATTTATAAAGAAAGGAGGTTTATTTGGCTCATGATTCTGCAGGCTGTATGAGAAGCGTGGCGCCAGCATCTGCTTCTGGTGCGGGCCTCAGGGAGCCTTCAATCAAGGCAGGTGGGGAAGGGGGTAGGCATGTCATGTGAGAAGCAGGAAGAAGAGAAGGAGGAAGCGGTGCCAGGCTCCTTTAAACAGCCAGCTGCCGGGGACTAGCAGAGGAAGAACTCACTCATGACCTTGGGGAGACCACCGGCCATTCCTGGGGGATCTGCCCTGGGGACCCAGACACCTCCTACCTCCAGTGTTGGAGACCTAATTTCAATATGAGATTGGAGGGGACAAGAACACAAACTTCAGCTCCCTTTTGTGAAAGGGGACAGGGTAGGGGAGGGAGTCTGGTCAGGGTGCAACCTTCCTGCAGCTCTGACCCTGCTCTGCCCTGAGGTGCAGGTAGTTCACTGTCTGTCTTGAAAGTGAGCTGGTAGAGCCACCTGGGTGCATCCCCTTCCCAGCTCCCCTGCTGGGGGCGTGGCCCCTGTCAGGGGTCACCATTACTCATGGGGAATTTTAAGAACACCCTAGTTAGTTCTTTGCTCAACATTATTTTTCTTAGTCTAGTATCTCAAATATAGCTTTAAAACTCTCTATATTTACATGTTTACCAAAAACTCAGGAGATTGGATTATACATGTAAAGGTATGATTTATATATATACATAGAAACCTGCTATACTGAATCAAGGAATATAAGAACGCTTAATCTGCAATAATTATATAAAGAAAAGAAACAATAAGGAAAGCAGTATTTCGTCCAGTTTAAGAAAACCAAAACATGACTCTCTTTCGTGACAAATAAAGGGCCTTGGTGTGGTGGCAGTGAGGGGTAGGCCTGGGCGCGGAGATGGCACGGGCCTTGCTCCAGGTGCCTCGTGTCCTCTCTGAGTGCAGGTTATGTATCGGCCGGTCGTCCTGCTCATGTCTGTAACTGTCAGTGTGCGCTTCTGTCTTGCAGTTCTAGAGCATGCAGCTGTTTACTGTACTTTAAGTAGGACATGTGATCCTTAATACATATTTGGAAAACCCATGTGAAACCGTGTCCACATATGTGTAGATGTATGTGGGATTTAAGTTAGAATCTCTTTATAGTAAGGGAGTAAAGTAAATCAGGCAATAGACTGAATTATATAACCAAGGGGTAACCTGTGAAGTCTCCCTAAACAGCTGTGAGGGGAGGGTGAAGTCGTATGGATCATTCCAGAAATTTGCCCTGGCAGAGGAGTAACCAGGACTTTGGCACCCTCACTGGTCTCTGTGGACACTCAGGGTCACGGGCCACTCCCTAATTCCAGCTGTTCCACAGCTTGTGCCCCTGGGGTGTGGTGGAGCAGCCTCGGCGCAGGTCCAGAGTTCTGTCTGCACTCGGCAGCTTCTCACTCTAGCACACCACGTTGTCGACCAAAGTGAATGAGGCAAAAATCTCAGTCAGCAGAGGTTTATTAAGCTATTAAAGATTTTGAGGACATGCCTGGGAAAAACAGGAACAGACAAGCTGTGGCTGTTTTTCCAAAGGGAAAGTTGATACCTTAAGCAATTTAGAGTCCTGGGGTGGGGAGGGGGATGATGAGATAGTAGTCACCTTCTCGTGAGGCCAAAGAAGTCTACATTTCACATAAAATAAGAGAGTGGAGGAAACATCAGGGCAGGTGGAAGAATGTCTGATTCTGTCTTGTCTCCAGTCCTGTCGCCTGGAGTTAAAATTGTAATTTATTATTAGTGTGGAATTGAACAGGCCTTCGTTTCAGATGCTGGACACAGGTACAGTGTGGGTGTCTTTGCTTCTGGGAGGTCAGCAAGGACTTTCCTTAACAAATGGTCTGTGGGGCTGGCTCTTCTCGGGGGCCTGAGGCTTCTACCTTCTCTTTTACAAGAGGAGATGGGGGTGTGGCCCTGAGACTTTGATTTTTTTTACACTCCCCCTGTTCTTCAAGATCTTTTGGAGGAATCCTCCTAGAAGATACGAGTTCATGATTGCATTTTTTAAAATTCAAATCCCACATCTCTGGGAAGGTTCATTTTTAGGAAATCATGTCCCTTAGAAGGGAAAAAATTAAGCCAAGAAGGACCAATGTCGAAAAATTATAGGTAAATAAAACTCAAAAACTAGTTCACTATATTCTTTTGAAACATAACTCTCTCTCTCTAGTTTCTCATTTTTATAGAGACAAATCATACATATAGTAAGACCATTTATTTGCAAAATAAATTTTAGTCTCATGGTCTGGTTACTTGAATAAAGTGCAGTAAGAATAATCATTCAAGTAGGCTTTTTTTTTTTTTTTAATTGGCTTTGGTGGAACCTTTTCTTTTAAAAAGGAGGAATTTCAGGTTACTTAAAGGTCTCTTGAGCCAAGCCAAGGATTTAACTGCCTGTAGATACCTGTGTGAATTGGGTAAAGTCCTCTTCTTTTGAGATCTCAAAGTAACTTGAGGTTCTTGGACCTGTCAGTGGCATTCCTTACTTACCACAGATCAGGAAATGTTATAGATGAAGCATCAACTTGGAATTTTTTTCCCCAAAGGGCTTTTTATTGGCCTTATAAAGTAAACCTAATTCCTCAAAGCAATCTGGGCATATTTGAAAATATGCCATTCTAGTCAAAGCCTTGGTAAAATAACCAGCATCTCTAATTCTGTCCTGTTATTAAAGAAAAACAGATTCTTGTTGAACTTATGCAGATGACTATATTGCATAGAATAAGAATACTCATGAATAGTTTCCAAATTCTGGAGAACTCAAGTAGAGAGAAAAAATGTTTCAGATTGATTGCAAAATACACTATACTAATTTGTTGTAATTTGTTGTATAATAAATAGCTCAGAAGAAGGAAAAAACTTTTTTGTCTTCTGGGAAACAAAACATAAAAGAATTAGGAATGTTTTAAACAAACGGTCAAAAAATTAGTTCAGTCCCATGTAATTATTTCTTGCTCTGCTTGAGGTTGGGTTAACAATCCTCATGAAGGCATCAGTGTTTGGATTTTTTTAAAAAATGTATTTATTTATTAAAGCCAGATTCTTTTAGAGTCTGGAAGGCATCTAGCTGAGGTGTCTGGATGTTAAACCCAAAGCATCTTCCATTAGAGGAGAAGTAGCTTTCATACAGAAAACAAATGTTAATATTTGAAAGAATTTGCCATGGAGTTTGTATGTCACCAGGTGTGTTTGTGGGGCCTCAGGAAACAGGTGGTGGGTGCAGTTTCATCAAGTCCAAGTCAGAAAAATGGAAGAAGAGTTTGAAACATTATTTGGAAATTTGTAGCCAGGAAAGAATTCAAGATTCAGTCTAAATTGTATGATCTCTAAGGTTACTAGAAAACTGCATTTTGAAAAGAATTAAAGTAATAATTGTGGATGACAAAAAGTTTTAGGATAGCCATGATTAAAGAGACAGTTAACAAAAGAAATTTGGTTATTTTTATGGAATATAACAATTTAACATTATAACCATAATTATTGATAACATATATCAAAACATATCAAACTTTTAGGAATCTCGTCCAGTTTTGGAACACATATTAATATCATGTTTATATAAATATGACTCAAAGTTAAATACCATTTTATATTTGACAAAGCTTCCTGTATGGTTTTCACTTACCAAATAAGCCTAATATAAGTGATAATTCAAAGATTTTAAAAATCAAAAAATGTTACCCTTTTTAAAACTTTTATATTCACTTAGTTTAATTTATTTTAAAACTATTTTTAAAATCTTTGAATTAGGCAAAATTAATTTTCCAAAACCCACATTTCTATATCTTCTTATAACCTTTTTTTCTCAAAAAAATCCAAAAACCCACATTTAATTTTTTCTTCATATTTTATATATAGAATTGTTTCTCTTATATCTGGTAGTTTTCATTACATATGTTAATTACAGTGTTAGCTCTTAGTATCCCTTATTTTTAATAAAAATCCAGGAAGTTAAAGTAACTTTGAGCTGTGTTCAATCCCCAATTTTATTAGTACATTTAAGTACTAATACATTTAAATATATTTAGCTTTCTGTGCTATGTGAAAATAAGATGTCAAAATATATATACTTAAACTTATGTTTAATAATTAATGTTTTAGTATTTTAACTTATAAATGACTCCGCCATTTTATGATTATCCTTTTTAATTTAACATATCATGACTTTATGATTTTAAATTATAGAAAAGAATTTTGAAACTACACATGTACCATCTGTAAGTCCACAGTCAAATCTAGCCAAATATTAAAAATATTATAGAAGCAGCAGTTTCGTGACCTTAAAATGTCTAGCAGACATAGGTTTTAACCCAACAGATTCAGGTGAAAATGTCTAAATTAAATTTTGAAGATATTTTTATTTTATTTTACCAATGGTTTTTTAAACTCTTATTCATTGAAGATTACTAAAGTCATGTGAACTTGAAAAGCATTTGGGCTTATTTACTTAATTTATGACCCATACACATGCATTCTAGGATCCTGCAGCCTTGATTGTAGAGCTCCAGCCATGAGACTGGCAGAACCCATCAGCAGGACAGTGTGATTTAAGCCATGCCGTCAAGAACGGGACAGCAAAATTTCTCCTCTCACGTGGGGCCTGAGCCCTCAGTGAGCCTTGGAGAAAACCAGGTGATAATTCACATCCTAAAGCACAGGAGGAAGCTAAGCCCTTCCAGGAAGGAGTCGGGGTGTGTTGGAAGTCAGTAATAACGGATGCCATGGCAACATAACATTCAGGAAGTCACCGAGCACTTTGTAAGGAGACCAGCTTCATTTAGGTGGGGAGCATTGAGCCTCAGAACCTCCAGAAAAGAGAGGTGCCGTGGGACAGAGCTGTGCAGTGTCTTTATAACTCACATCTTACAAAGATTCCGTAGTGTTCAATCCCACTCTTGCTTAGCCACGGCCAAAGGAAAGGAGGAGCCTCTTGTGGCGCGTTCAGCGCCTCTACTTTGGCCATTCTGCCAGAGCCAAAACTCTCACATTGTGAAGGAATTTTTGGTGTCCCCAAAAGCCAGAGAGATCAGGTAACACGGTACAAAAGAGAGTAGTTTTATATCTGAGAGGAATCTGTTTGTGAACTTTTAGACTCCATAAGGAAAACAGAAGACACCCCCAAAAGAGGGGTAAATGGCATCTTTTTTTCTGAGTTCCTCAGGGAGTCTGAACCATTAGAAGCAGCAGCTTTTACCTGGGACAAAGTTGGCAGTTTGTCTTTTGAACTTTTTAAACTAAAGATACCCTTCTACTAAGTGAAATCTGCAGGCCTTAGCTAAGGTTATAGCTTAATCAGGGAAGCACGAGGTGTCTCCAAAGAGCTGGAAGACAGTTTTTATGCCATCCAGAAGAGCCACAAGAACAGCTCACAGAAGGAAAGTCTCACTAGCCATAAACCAGGTGTGACCCACGTTTCTGTGCAGCCATGGTTTTTGTGTCTCCGTTTCTCAGCTGACTATTACATGTAAAAGTCCAGAAGCTTCCTGTGCCTCTCACGGGTAGAAGAAAACAAGAAGTTAAAGGTTGTCCATGTAATAAATGGCAAAAGTTACATAAAATCAAGCCAAACCTACTCCCTGATGGGGAACTGAACCCAGGCTGTGAGGGTGAAGCACAGAATTTCAGCCGTTGGGCTGCAGGATGAATTGGCTTGTGCTGTCATTCCCACAGGAACAGCGTATGGAGGACTTTTATTCTTTAGGACAGATTTTGCTCTTTAATTTTGTCAAGAGCATTTTTAAGGCTAGCCCTTCTATGTCCTTCTTTTAATCTAATTCTTACACTAATAGAAAAAGGCAATTGTTTAGCATAAGAGATTTCTAAAATCCATCTTTCAATTTAAAGGATCCATGTTTGGCCATTATTTTTCAATGATGTGCGCTTATTCTAAAGCAGCTTGGTCTAATGGTTTCTTCAGGGAAAAAACAGTTCCAAAGATCCCCTCATTCTTCCAGAAACAGGCAAAGAAAAAGATGACAAAAGCCCCTTGTTCTTCCCAAGCTCACGGTTCTTGGTCCCTGAGTCAGCAGATTGGCAGGAGATGGAAAGGGGAATTTACACAGGCAGGGCTTTGGGGGGTTGCGTGAACAGAAGGGGGACGGTGCTGGTGAAGAGTGGTGAGGCTGGCTGTCCCAGCAGAGGGCTGGCAGCTTTTGAAGGCAGAGAGGAAGCTTGGTGCCAGCACTGAAGTCACAGCATGTGGAGGCAGAGTTCTGTTGGCAGCTGCCACTCCGGTGATCATGCTTGTTCATACCTTGCACATCTCCTTAGCATTTTAAATCTCCACCCTTGGGCGTGATTTTTAGCATTAAAATGAGGCAAAAGGTCTATGAACATTCAACTTTGGGCTTCATCTTGGCAGCAGCCAGTTTGTGCTAGCTTTGACAGGGGCAGGGATCCCTGGCCCAGCGGTTGCCGCGTCTATTAAAGCAGTCAGAACTACCTCCCATTGAAGCCGCTGTTAATCATTTTCAAAGCTTTCCTTCAGTATCTTAAGCAGACTTAAGCTTTGGCTCAAGGCTCAGGCAGGAAGCCAAAGCCCACCTCCTATACTATCTGATTGTGACTGGGACGTTTTATGATAACACAGGACAGAGAGCAACAAGGGAAAACCCTGTCTCTGGGAGGGAAAAAAGGATTAAAAATGAATTTATATCACGAAGTACCAAAGTCACTGTATTAAGACTAGTCATAAAAATCCTTTTTCTCTCATCAGTCAAAACAAATAATGATTTTTACTGTTCGCCCAACTGGATTGTACAGAGAGGCCAGGATCCTTGGTTGGGATACATTTTATTTATATATATGTGTGTGTGTGAGAGAAAGAGAGATTTTTTTAAAAACCCTTTTTGCCTGCTGATCAGGTTCTTGGTTTTTTCTCTACTCCAGTTTTCTGGAAGAACAGAGCAGCTTCAGACTGTGGGAAACAAAGTGCTTTTCCCCTTAAAGGTTTACTGTAAAAAAAAAAAAAAAATCACTGACATAAGGCAGATTGATTAATTGGAGAAAAAGACATTTAAGTCAGTTTTTGCCATGTATACAAGAAGCTTTTAGAATGAAAACCTAGCAAAATAAGAGGGAGAAGAGAGAGGCTGGCAGAGGGGTCCTGTTATGCAGATGAAGTCTCCCAGCTCAGAGTCCTCAGGGAGAGTGACTGTTTCCTTTTAAAACTTTTAAAGGGGATATCAAGATCACCGAGAATAATTTGGAGGTTGCCAAGGACTTATTTAAAAGTGTTTTCAAGTCCGACCGAGAACTCTAACATTTAGAGAAAGAAAAGCTAGGCTGACGCCACAACATACGCAACAACACGGGAAACAAAGTCAAAAAAAAAAAAAAAAAAAAAAAAAAAAAAAAAACTTTTAAAGGTGTGGGACTCTCAGTTAATCTTTTCTAGTTTAGGTAAAAGAAAGTCTTGGCTGCATGGAGATTCTCTAAGGTGTGAAAAGACATCTATGGAGATGTCTACAAAGCTTGTAGCAGCCATCTTAAATACGTCAGAGAAATATTTTTGGGTTAAGTTATTTTTATTTTTTATCTTTTTGGACCAGCTGGGGTATTGCAGCTGTAGGGGGTTTAGTCAATTTTAGAGGCCTTGTTTTCTGTAATTTAGTTGGTCAAATCTAATGTAAGATAAGACTAAAACTAAAAACAGAAAAAACAATCACCCAATTAATTTGGTGTTGAGATCTCTAAGCACAAGAAGTTGTAGCCAGCTGACAGCAGACCTTAGCCCTCAGCTGTCAAACTCTAAAACCAAACCCCAGACCAGCTCCTCCCCTGGCCTGGGGCCCAAGCTGAGCCTGCCCTCCATCTTTAGGGAAACGGGAGACTCACCTTCCTTATCAGAGGTGAGCAGAGCTCCCCTAGAGGAGTTCCCAAGCAGAGTAAACCCCAGATCTAAACCACAAAGTTGGGAGGTTGAGGATCTCTGGAAAGAGCAGCCAGAACCTCAGTGGCCTTCCCGATGGGTCAGGGCAGTAAGGGGCTTTGGCTGGTGCTGGGATCCAGTTGGAAAGTCGCTCCAGGTTGAGAAGTCCAAACTCTGCTCAGGGTTCCTTTGCAGTCTCCACGGCAACCCAAGTAAACAACCAAGGGAAAAAATATCAGTGGAGGTTTATTAAGCCAAGATTTTGAGGACACTGGGAAAAACAGGAACTAGATAAGCTGCGGCAGTTTTTCTGTGGGGAAAGTTGGAATCTTCTGCAATTTAAAGGCAACAGAGAAGGAGAGATGCAGGGTTGGGGGGAGCTTATAAGGTAAAGTGGTTACATTTTTGTGAGGCCCAAGAAAATCCACATTTTAGGGAGTGAAGAAAGCATCAATTATGTAGATGTCCCTGGGCAAGTAAAAGAATATCTCATTCTGTCTGGTGTCCAGTTTTGTCACCTGGAGATAAACTTGTAATTCATATTAGTGTGGCTTAGTGGCTCTAGTTTTAGGTGCTGGACACAGGTACAATTTGCATGTCTTTTCTTACGGGAGGTCAGCAAGGAATTTCCTTAATGAATGATCTGTGGGGGTGGTTCTCACAGGTACCTGAACCCTTTGCCTTCTCTCTTTTTGTTTTTTTGTGGTTTTTTTTTGGTTTGTTTTTTTTTTTTTGAGACAGAGTCTTGCTCTGTTGCCCAGGCTAGAGTGCCATGGCATCAGCCTAGCTCACAGCAACCTCAAACTCCTGGGCTTAAGCAATCCTGCCTCAGCCTCCCGAGTAGCTGGAACTACAGGCACGTGCCACCATGCCCAGCTAAATTTTTTCTGTATATTTTTAGTTGTCCAGATAATTTCTTTTTATTTTTAGTAGAAACAGGGTCTCACTCTTGCTCAGGCTGGTCTCAAACTCCTGAGCTCAAATGATCCGCCCACTTCTCCTGGCCTGCCTTTTCTTTTGCATGACGAGTTGCCCTGGGGTTGGGGGGGATGGCCCTGAGGCTTTGATTTTCTTTTTACAACACACGGACCCATCACACCTGTTGCAGGTCTGAGTTCTTTGAAGTTCTCCTGGGGGTTAGACTTGAAATTCAGAAGTCAGGACGCAGCAATGCCACCCTCATCCTGGTGCCTGTCGTCGCCTGTGGGGTGTCTTGGGTGAGGAGAGGTCAGGGCAGGGGCAGGAGCCGCAGAATCGCAGTCAAGTCCAGGGATGGTCCCGCCACATTCTTGTACAGATGAGACCTTTAAGCACTTATTTCTTTTAAATTTGGCTTCTTCTCTAGCTTTACACTTACCAGTGTAATTATGTAGTCTCAGGATCCCCGAGAGGCAGGGACCCACCCCAGAGTCTACAGCATGGAGCCCTGTGCCCAGGAGGGGTTGCGAGAACACGGCCCAGCCACCACTAGCCGGGGCCGGTGTGCACATGCACACGGCAACACGCTGTTCTAGATACAGTCGCAGAAGTGGTGCCACACGCACAGAGCTGCTTGACCACCACCATAGTCGGTACCAGAATGTCTCGTCACCCGGGAAGAAACCTCACACCTCCTCTGCCATCCGACCCTGCTCCTGGCGACCATGCACTTCCCCTCTCTGGAGATTTCTTAGTTCCGGGCATCTCATGCCCAGCGTCACACGACACGTGGCTCTGGTGTCTGGCTCCTTCACTGAGCACAGTGTTGGCCAGGCTTGCCCGCCGTGTGGCCCGCGTCAGCTTCGCTGCTCCTGTGGCTGGATGCTGTCTGTCACCCCTGTGGGGTGGACACGCCTTGCTTATTCCTTGAGGACTCCTGGGCTGTTTCCATGTTTTGGCTGTGTGAGTGCTGCTGCTGGAGCCTTCCTGCACGGGCGTTTGTGTGGAATGTACACCCCTCAGGTGTTAGAAACGAAAGCCTTTCTGGTTTGTAAAAAGTACCTTTTGCCATGGTAAGAAGCTGTCATTACTGAATTCAGAGTTTCAAGAATTGCATATAAAGTATATTTTGAATGAAAAACCCCACCTGAAGATGCAGAAGAGAAAAAAAGAAGTTCTCCACACATGGCTGGGGAGGAGGAAGCAGCTGGGGTCAGCATCATCAAGGGAGGCCAGTGGGGCTGGGGCACCGGCCTCGCTGGGAACCAGGGAGAGGAGGGCCGCAGTGCCGGCGCCACGGGGAACCGCCCGGAGCCAGTGCAGGTAGGAGCCAAGGACCAGAGCTGCAGTCGTGCGGATCCAGACCTTTGAGCTCAATTTTCAGGAAATTCATCTCTCCTTGCTGTTTTCCTTATGTTAAATGAGTCCAGAAATTGAAAAAAGTAGAGAAAATAAGAATGAAATAGGGTTGTTGTTTCTCAGATTTATTCAGTTATTTTTAAGGAGTTTATCCTGCTGATAAGAGTGAAATAAAAGTTTTTATTAGGAATAATGAGAGATTATTTTTTCTCTACACATACAGTACAAATGTTTGAAAACAGCAAGGTTAGTTACCTCTTGCTAGTTTACTGTTTATGCTGGGTTTAACTAAACTTCTATCGTGGTTTTCTCATTAGTACCGGATTTGTCATGGTGCTAAGAAAGCCTCAATTCAGGCACTGCTTTTACAAGTTTATTATGATGTTAAGAGATCGATTAATCCTTTGTTAGAAGTCACAGAGATGAGTATTTCAAAGGAACCTAATGAAGGCAATTTGATTATTTTAATATTTTACAATAAGATGGTGGTATTCGGGGAGGGTGTGTATTCAGCCTTGTCTGGAAGTGTCTTCCTAAACCTATCTTGCTCTGTGATTGTTTCAGTGTGAGAGTGTTCGTAGCAGAGAACACAGTACAGTTATGTACACTCAGCGGTAACTGAGAAGAACTCGATGTTTGACTTTCTGCTCAGTTTCCCTATGTAAATGTTAATAATGTGGGTCCCCCCAAATACATAGGCACAGATGTGGGTGGCCACGCCTTTCCCAGTCCCCTCCTCCGTGTGTGTGAGTGTGTGTGTGTGTGTGTGTGTGTGTGTGGATGGAGATGTGGATACAGATGTGTGTGTGGATGGAGATGTGGATATAGATGTGTGTCTGGATGGAGATGTGGATACAGATGTGTGTGTGTGGATGGAGATGTGGATACAGGTGTGTGTGTGGATGGAGATGTGGATACAGATGTGTGTGTGGATGGAGATGTGGATACAGATGTGTGTGTGGATGGAGATGTGGATACAGATGTGTGTGGATTGAGATGTGGAGTCAGATGTGTGTGGATTAAGATGTGGATACAGATGTGTGTGTGGGTGGAGATGTGGATACAGATGTGTGTGGATGGAGATGTGGATACAGATGTGTGTGGATGGAGATGTGGATACAGATGTGTGTGTGGATGGAGATGTGGATACAGATGTGCGTGTGTGGATGGAGATGTGGATACAGATGTGCGTGTGTGGATGGAGATGTGGATACAGATGTGTGTGTGTGGATGGAGATGTGGATACAGATGTGCGTGTGTGGATGGAGATGTGGATAAAGATGTAGTAGATGTAGCCAATCCCAGTCTCTGGCCTGTGTTGCCTTTGCCTGCCGAGAAGGCACCCTAACAGATTCCCTCAGTTACCCAGTTGAAGGCATGTTTCTCTATTTAGGCTATGAGACAGGAGGAGAGTTAAAGGCTTTGGGAGAGATTTTGCTTTCTTTGTAAACTTAAAGAGCTAGGACCTTTTTCCTCACCTTGAATGTGGGCACAGTATTTGGAGCAGCCTCTGAGGTAATGCTCCCAGTGCCAGGGAGACAGACAGAGCTGGTGTCTTAGCTGGTGCTGCTGAGCTGCTCACTTTACCCTGAGAGTGCTGAGCTCTGTTTTCTGCTGGGTACTCGGCAAAAACCCTCACAGTTGAGCCACTGCTAGTTCGGCACATCTGCGACCACAGCCAGGCTCCCCAAGAAGGATTATACGGGGTTCCCTTCTGCAAGGCCACATTTTGTTCTCACTGTCTCGTTTTTAATAACCTGTACACATGCCAGGGAGGAGCCGGATGGAAGTCAGGTCGGGGTTCTCAGAGGCGGTGCTCATCAGTTGAATT